GTTTGAAGTGCGGGTCCTGGCCTTTATTAAGATGTTGCTCCAAGTCCCTTATGGTATTATGCAGAATTTCAATTTCCTTGTTTTTTTCCTCCTAGAGATGCTGCAGCTTCTGTAAAGATGCAAGTAAATACTTCTTTAGTAAATATCCTGTAGAATTATATACTGATAAAATACACTGTTGCTAATGAGAAATACTCCAACACTATTTTTTACAGTATCACAAAGATAACTTCCCCAGAATCCTCTTTCTGTGGGGACCCAAAACAACTCTCAGCCTAGCAAAACAATAGTGCACAATTAAGATCTGTCACTGATAATAGCTGTATCTTAAGTCCCCAAGTGAGCAAATATTTACAAGAAGCAGAGTGGGCTTTGGTTGTTGCTGATGTCAAAGTTATTAAGCTGAACAGCATCTACATGAAGAACAGTGCAAAAAAGGCATTAAGATAGTTGTCCAGAGGCAGGAGGGAGGTGTTGGAAAAGGGAATGATACAGACCCTATCAGCCATGGAACTCACTTTCCCCCTCCTAGTTTTTATTGCAGAGCAAGTAAGACAGTAAAAATCCAGGGTGCTGCTGTTTGAAGGAGACTGTAACAATAGTCACAAGCTGTAGACTATTCAATTACATACCCTTCGATAGATACTTTGTGGCAGGACAGATGCATCTGGAAATGATTTTGCTGTTTTATTCTGAACTCTTGCTAATTTAGCATTGAACTGAAAGAATCAGGGTAAGATAAATCATTAATAACCCAATAGGAAAAAAAGTATACTAAATAATCCGAGCATACTTTTCACATTTCATCCATTGTTTTTGTACCTAGAAGTAGCAGTGGCAAGCTTATGTACTATTTAATCCTAGGATAATGAAAACCAGAAAGTTTATTTAAAAAAAGAATGCAATCAGATGCTACATTTAAAAAAAACAATCCTTCAAATTATTTCAAAAAAGAGAAAATTGATATAAAATATTAAAATGACAATTTATCATAGGCATTTCTGAAGCGTTAAATTGAAAAAAAAGCTCCGCTAACCAATGTTGAAAGAACCAGTCCCACATTTAAAGGAAGAATGCATTACCCTTCCTTAATGTTCCAAGAACTCCTCAGCCCAAGTAGCTTCACACCTTATCTCTTTTTTAATGTGAAAGTATTTCCTTAATCTTCCAGTTACTAGGACAGTGGCCTTAAAACCTAAGCATGAAATATACATTGAATCCTGTGACTCTCAAAGCTCTGCAGGATTGGAAGTCTATATGCTCCTGAAGTTTGTAAGTGTCTGCATCTTCCAAATATTAACAAAATGAAAAACAAGTAGAAAACATTCCTTTTTCATTTCATTATAGCTCAAAAACACTGATAAACTTTCCAAAATTTCCAATATTATGTGGCTTAAGAATGCAGCAAATTTCAGTGTCCTTGAAGAAGTCATTCAGATACAGTTACCAAAGAGAGCACATGGCAATGTTATTTGCACAGATAACCTTCTAAATTTTCACAGGTTCAAATTATTCTATTAAGTACCATTTACACTATTCTTCACTACACATTTTAAGTCTACCAGTGCCCAGTTACTTTTAACTCAGCTTCATAACGCATACCTCTATCTGCAGTTTAATTATTTCATTCTGCTTCTCTTCATCTTGAGTTTTCAGCTGTCTGTTTAACTCTAATACTTCCAGTTCTTTTTTCTCTATTTTTTCTTTATATTCCACTTCTATTAGTTCAACTATAAACAGCAATCATAAGAAACATATTATATATTTAATGTAATATATATTTAATATAATATATATTTAATATTTAACATATTATATACTTAACATACTGAACTATAAAAAGGATTAGATGAAAAATAATAATAGCATTTCGCAAAGATTGAGACTTTCTCCAACAGCCTTTGAGCACTCCACAGGAAAACAATTTCAGTCAAACCAAAAAAAAGTTTTAAAAATGTAAGGCAACAAAGAGGCATCACAATTTACCTTTTTTTTTTTTTTAAATTAAGTGCATAACCAAAATAGTTCTCCTCTTGAAAGCTGTATTTACGAAAGTGCATGTTTACGAAAATGCATGAAGTTCTGTTGAGTGAAGCTGGAATCCTGTAACAATCTATTTCACAGTCCCAGCCAGCACTTAACTCCTTCAGATACTTCTTAGGCCCATGTTCCCAGTGTTTGTTCCACCTGTTTGGAAATTTCTGATCATCCTGTACCTCCATGCTATTACCTAATTGTAACTGTCTACTCTTGAGCTAAGATTAAATTCAGTTAAACACTCTATCCACTTAGAGCTTTCACGTATCTTTGTTTTATCAGTACTACATTTGTACTTTACATAGAAAATGTACGTTTCTGTTGAACTGTATCCTGTATTTATCCTAGAATAGGTTTCAACGTTGTTTACTCAGCTTCACAGCTTTTAGTCTTTGGAGAACTTACTTTGTTTTTTCATGTCACGATTCAGTCTTGTTATTTCCACTTTGTGGTCTTCCTCTTTATTTTTAATTTCCATCAAAAGCTTCTCAATCTGAAGTTTATATTCCTGTGAATAGAAAATACTTCATTAAAAAATCTTCAGGTTCCCATGCCTACATAGAAAGTCTTCTGTAAACCACAATATTATTGACAAAATATACAATCTCTCTGTAACTCAGTAATTGTTTTTCTGTCCCTAGTAAATCCCAAATGTCCAGTTACTACTTCCACAACCCAAAGGCCACAGCCAAAAAAAACCAAAAAAGGCACAAATCATGTGGCAGCTATCAGTATTGTTAAAATAAAATAAAAAATTGCACTGTTACCCAAAAGAAAGAATTTTGAGCGTAACTATTATAAGTTTTGCTCGAATACAAGTATGGTAGTAGTTTAATACTGGCTGTAGTTGCCAGCGCTGAGATGCCTCCTTTAAAGCTGCTGTCCAAGCCCTCTGCTTGTAGGCGAGTCACTGACCATAGTAAGAAACACTTCAATAGGCAACCTATTTATAGCATTCACTCCCAAGGAAACCACAGCCAAAATTCAGGATGGTTCTTGTTTCTCTGGTAAAGCAGTTACCTTAAACATCAAAAATACATTTGCCTTTTTGGACAAACGATTAGCTTCTAGCCTAGAAAGTTGAATTTAAAGCTAATACGACTAACCATAAGTTAGCCAGAGCTCTCAGAGTTTGGGAGAACTGATCTCTAGTCTTTTTAGCACATTTTCCTATTGATACTGGTTTGAGAGCAACTGTTCTCTCTGTGCATATGGTAAGTTTCAGGAAAAGTGTAGCAACAATGCGATCAGTACTGAAGAGTTTAAGAATACTTAAACTTTTGAAATAGAGTGAAAGACATCTTAGTTCTCTGCCAAAGAAGGACCATTAGTGACGAACCTGTTCACGAGCAGTTAATTTCTCTTCCAACATCTGAATATTATCTTTCAGGCTCTCATTTTCATCTACATAATAATAAAACATAAACAGTATGAGACAACAAAAAGTAATAACTAAAATAAAAAACACTTCAATTTGGCTTTTCTAAACTTTAAGAAACTGTTAACATTTTGAAGACATGATAATCCTCATTTTCACAGCTATGTAATTTTTGTCACTTTTTTAAAATAGAAAATGCACAGGGTAATCATTTTTGCCTAATATTACTACTTGGATTGGTTCTTAGCCTTCGCTTATTTAGCCTTCTATAATTAATCTAGTCAATAGAACTTAGATGCAAAGTTGTCTGGTTCAGAAATTAAGAGAATATTATCATATCTATAGCACTTGCAAACAGAACATGCAACCCTTTCTTTCCAAGTATGCATTTCCCCAGAAATGAACTTAGTAAATGGGTGCAGGCGCTTATGAAGCCTTAACTATAGTTACAGTAAATATGCTATTATTGATAAATATGCCATTAAGTGGAAAGCAGTGTTGCAAAGAAAAAAAATTAGAAAAAGTAGATAATGCTTTTTCTATTAAAAATCATTATGATTATTAAAAAGAGCCACATCTTGTCTATTTTAGAGGTTTCTTAACATTTATGCTAATATGCCTTGAACACATAATGGGTATAAAATTGTGTAAATGATATATAACTGCAGTGGGATATAAAGATATTTTGCTTCACATTATGTATAAAAATACATGTTTTTATATTCCAGATATTTATTATATATACAAAACATTTATATAGCTGATTACATTTATTACAGTTTATATACTTATTTAAATAGCAATGCAGTTTTCTCAAGTATTCGTGGCTAACAAGTATATTTTAGAACACAAGCAGAGGATTAAAACCTTGATCTAATAAAACACTTAAACACGTAAAAATTATGTGCAAGTGCTTTACTAGATCACAGTCCAAAGAACAAATAAAGCTTTCTCACCTTTCATAAGATTTCCTGTGCAACACTGAACTAAAATTAAAACCCAACTATTGACTAAAAATTTCAATGAGCTAAAACTTGTTTTTTTCTAGTGGTTTCAAATAACAATTGTATTGTTATTTGCACAGACATTAAGCACTCAGACCACTAAAAAGGCATAGGATTGAATTTAGATAGGGATTTATTTAGTTTCTGATTGGCTGCCATTGAATTTGCCTCTCTGAAAAAAGCATAAAATATAAATTAAACTTTTAAATACCTGCTCCTTCTATATTACAATACAATATAGATTTTTGCTCTTACCTTTCACGTTACATTGGTTTTCAACAGTTTGTGTTAGACCATTTATCACATTCTGCAAAGCAGTACATTCTGAAAGAAATGACAAAACCACTGGTTTTGAATTCTTTCACTATTCTCTTTGTAGAAATGATTGTAACTATCACAAACAAATAATAAACATCACACTTTTTAAAAACTGTAATAAAAATGTAAGAGAATAACTTTTTTTTTAATATAAGTTTAAATACCCATTTTCTTGGAATCCAAGAATATTCAATATTCTGTATAGCAAAAAAACCCTCCTTTCCAACTGTAGCAATAACTGAAAATCCTTCTTCAAGAATCACCACACAAGTACAACTAGCAATCTCTACATAACAAATATGACAGTCAAAAAGATGAATTAAGATGCTGGTCCCAAGATTAAGTTTTCCAATCATTTTAAAAAAATCTTTCATCTGTTCTTCCACCAAGCCTGTTTTGCATGCCCCTCAATGCCAGCCTGTCACATTCCCCCATTTCATGCTTGCAAAGAAGCAGCAGAGGGAGCACTGGCAACACAGATACACAACCTGCTCACAGCTTCTGTTCTGCAGCTGTGCTGCAGAAAAACCCTGCTTGAAAGCTGAGGTTCCAAGTTAGCGCACCCCATACACAGAGATTGTTAGTTACGTGGAGTACATCTTAACTTACACTAGAGATAATTCTGGGGACTAAAAATCTGAGGAAATAGGAAAGGTTTTCCATGGAAAGAAAAAAATATGGAAGACAGCCCTTACACAAAGAAAAAGTCTAAAAATACTATGTCTCTGGTCCAAAATACGGAGAAGCAAGAGCTTCATGGAAAAGAGCTTTAAGATGTCCTATTACAATATTTTTTCAAATTTCATTAAAATGTTTTCTACTCTGCTTTGGAAAAAACACTAATGTTTGTGTTAGCACTGTTAACTATATGTTAAATGCATTTATAATGATGTGCACAAATGCCAAACAGAATACGGATTCAGTGTGAGACAGACACCTGGTACAGAAATTTGCACTGCAGACAGTTTCACAAAGATAAAATCATCTGAAAATCTGTTAACCTTTACCACAGGCAGCAGTAGTAGCTCTCCATGTAATTTGAAGAACTTAATGGCTCATCATATTAAGCCACCAAAGAAGGATTCTTCCTTATTACTACTTTTACTAAAAGTGACAATGCATTCAACAGTGGAATATCTGGGTGCCTTATATTCTCCTGTAGGTTTGTTTGTGCTGGAAGAAATTTTCATATTTCCAATTATGGTTAGCAACTAAACCAAAAATGCTTTCTTAAAATGGGACTCTTCCAGTTTACAGTGTTATCTGACTGATGAGTACCGACAAGTTCTATTACAAATTTTTCCATCCTTTCATTACAGATATTAATTCAAATGCTTGAAATTTATGCAGAAATTGGAAAAGCATCTGGACAAGCATGGAAATGGCAGCTAGTCTTGCACTGAACCACAACCACTTTAAGTGCAAGCCACTTCAGATAAAACACAGTTAGTCCCAGTGTATTTAATTATCTTTAACGGATGTATCTTGACAAATTCCTTATGTTATTACAGTTGTGTAACTGTACAATTTACTGGGAACCCACAGGGAGTTTTGATTGTATTAAGAAGAACTCCGCCAGACTGTTGCAGCTTTGCTAGATCACACTGCATTGGCATCTATAGGAATTCTGCATGATTCCTCATCTGTGAAGAATACACATGCAGAAAGACCAAACAGCCTAACTGTTCTTTTTCCCATGTTTAAAGTTTGCAACTTCTTGCTGTTTCTTCTATCTGCATTTACACTTCAAGCTATTAGCTGTTTTAACACAGCAAATTATATCAATCTTGTGATCTACTATTAAGACTTGCACTCTAAAATTGAGCTGTTTATTCACCCTATTTATACATTTCTCTTGTTTCAAATTTGTCATAAGATGAAGTTAATACTAGAATGCATGTTGATATTGATGATCATGACATGGATACAACTGTCCAAACCCAGCAATTTCTGCTGCCTTGGTACAGACGCTTCAAATGATAAGCCTGAAAAACGTGACTAGAATGGATCCTAGGAAGCGGTTAGGAAGTAGTTCAGAACATGAGATTAGGAGCTATCTTCTTCTCCAAGTTGGCAGGATCACTCTAAAAACAAGAGTGCATAAAGATAACGTTGCCATAAAAAGAATGAAAGTATCAATCCTGCATTTGATCGATAAATTTTCTCTGGTCCTGAGGTCGTATTTCCCCATCAAAGAGTTCCTTTCACCCACAGTGCTTTGAATTTCAAAAAAAAAGTTTTACAAAACAGGAATCAAACTACTTAGCATTAGTGTTTTTTTTCTGCAAATATGGTATACAACAACGCGGTAGATTTAATAATAAATCTATCTTCCAAAGGTCAGATGTTGTAGATGAATTTGATGAGGTTGTGAGGAACATTATCCATTTCTAAATCTATCTAAATACTTTCTATTTCCTTGATATCTCTCATTTACCTACTACTGCCTTATCACTAGGTGGCTTTCACAATCACCTGCTGGACACTCCATGCTGTTCTAAGTATTGCTATTAACAGTTCTGTATTCTCTCTTACTTCCCATACCAAAATCTTTGCTTTCCCACAGTTCTGCTTCCCTTTTTACAATCTGAATAATTTGTACAACTATTATGACTTCAAATATTACTGAGATCTCTTTCCTAACTAACTCTGCTGCTTAAACTCTGGTTCCTATTTCATGCTGATTGCTCTGGTATTTCTGCTTGGCCCTCTGCCTTGACATTTTTCCCCCCATCTTGTGTTTCGAAACAGCTCCAGAGGTCATTCTCCTCAGTTATGATATCGACATAACTATCTCCTCAAATCATTTTGCTCTTATCTCATCAAACTGAGGCACTACTTTCCATTTACAAAGCCCAAATCTCCCATCTGACTTCCATCTGGTTTTAGTCCATTCTGCTTCCACACTCCTTTCTGCAGTCCTCCCAGCTGGTCTGACTTCCTGCTTTCTTTCATACTGGTTGCTCTACGCCCTTTTTCCCCTATTTGTATTATGCTAGAAATATTTTCTTCTTTTCATCCAGCTCTTCCTTTTCCTCTTTGAAATCCATTTTATACAAAAGAGTCCTCGTTTTATTTGCATTAAAAAAGTCTGATTCTCCCTCTCAGTAACTCTCATGTCCGACTGAGAAACAAACCATTCTTATGGCTCAGTCCACATTTCCATCCAATTCACTACCCCATTTCATTACACACAGTGCTAGATACTTTATGAAAGAATACAAAAATCTGGACAAACATTATCCTTAACATATCCTTTCAGCTTCCAAAAAGTTCTCTTCCATTAACTTGTCTCATCATTTTGGACTCATCTGTACTTTTGATATCCATAAACTCCGGTGGCAATTGATTCAAAAAGCTCATTTTATGATGTATGATGTATGGAAAAAATCTTCCTTTTATTTCCTTTATAGAAGCTTAACCATCGACAAGTTTGACTTCCCCCTATTTCATTACAATGAACAGTGAATAATCATTCTTAGTCATTTTGTCTGCACCATTCAGGACTTTACAGTAACATCCCATCTCTGCTATTTCTTTTCAGGCTGAAAATAGTGGTCAACCTAAGTCTTTCCTCAGATGCTCCATAACTGTTATCTAGAAGGGTGCCAAGTGTTTCCTCGTGCACTCTATTCCTGAGGGTTTGGCTGCCTGGGCCCAAGGCCAGCTTACAAAGAGTATGACTGGTGAGGTGCAAACAAGTGGTTTGAATAAAACTGGAAGGAGACTGGGCAATGTCTGGGTCCCCTCTTGCCCTTGGGGGCAAGCTGAGCTTCTCCATCTTGGCCCAGCCTGAGCTCTGCTGCAGCTATGTTGCAGCCATGTCTTGTGCCTGGACACATACCCTGTCAATCCAGACTCCAACCACAATGTATGGACTGACTTCCTGGCTTCATTTCAGACCTTCCTCATCACTATCAATGTGTTGGTGATCCCTGAACCATGTCTGACCCTATTGTTCTTTCTAGACCTCACTATGCTCCTAACTCAACTTCCTGTGTCATTATAGACTTGGTCAGTAAGTCTCTCACCACCATTCCTGGGGCTACCTCCCTTGGGTATGGAGGGACCAGGTCCCTGCTGGTGACACCCAAGTCTCTGCCAGCCTCGCTGCAGGCTGGGCTCCCTGCCTGCTCCCTGATAACACAAAACTTCACTGGCATGTATGTGTCTCTCCTAGCTCTGGTATGCCCTTTCTGAAATGCAGGAAACAAAAATACTACACAAAAAACCCTTTTCTACAGGGACAAGATATATATATATTTTTTTAACCACTGTTATTTTTTAAGAATTACTCACAATGACACAAAGATCTCTTTCCGAGGTAGAAATTGCCAATTAGAACCTGCCACTATTTATATACAATATCTCCTATATGCTTTCTGCTGAATTTCAGGTTCCCTTTTCATCAGTCATTCTGTATCATGAGACTCTTAGTAAAACTGAATACTTCAGCTACACTAGCACACTTTTACTCACTTTTTCAACAACTTATCCAGTTCCTTTCTGAGTATGTTAAATAACTGAAGTCTCAGTAAAGATGCAAGTGAAAGCGTCTGGCAACTTTATTCCTATGTGAAACCAAATTTATTTATGGAATAAATTTAGGACAATAATTAGTATCAGTGTAATTGAACTGAAGCTTGAAGGAATTCTGTGTGATTGTTAATGCTTTATAACTGAATTAGAAATAACACTGATTAAACAATATGACAGCCTCTTTGATTTTTTATGATCATGATTTTATCTGATCTCTTAGCATTACAGGGCATTATTAAATCTTACACAGATATAACATCTAATTACTTTGGACAGACTAAATCTTTTCAGTCCTCAAGAAGCTGAAGAAATGCTCAGGGAGAACACAAGATTCAGTACCCTAACAATACCCAAAGTCCAGGACAAGGGCATGTAATTAATTTAGGTTAAATTATTTCACTGACCAACACTGAAAGAGAAATACTAGAACTTCAATAGTCAGTATAGTATAAGGAAAATAATGCATTCTAAATCCCAAACTGGGCTATCAAACTGACCTTATGCAAACAAAATCATACAAGGTAAGACAGATTTTTTTTTTTTTAACACCATCTTAGAGCACCAATCCCACCATCTTGACATCCTATCTCCAATTATAGACACACTTTGATGTTTTGGAACTGTGACATTTTCAAACTTTGATGTTTTCATAAGGCGACAAAAAATGCATCCAAGAATGTACCTAGCCCTCTCTTATTTTTCAGCGGGGAAAACATTTTTTGGGAACTACTTCAAAACATTAGATTTTGTCATATTAATAAGCAGCCCATCTTGGCATGTGACAATGTCAGTGATAACCTTAGTTACCAAATGTGGACTCTGTCATTCTATATAGACATCCAAGTTGCCTGGGAATGTTAATGACAAGTTACCTTTTAAGCTAAAACACTAATTTGCCTAAAACAACTCTCATAACAACCTGTGGTAGTTCACTCAATGCTAAGATGCCTGTACAGATGGGAAGGATGTTGTTTTGGGAACAGTAACATCACTAGGTGTCTGATCACCTAATCAACTGAGCTGATCCTTTTCTTCTTCCCCTTGACTGGAAAATAATTTTAATATTGCTCTCAAAATTTACTTGTGGATTTCTGTTTTATGTAAATGCATTTCACTGCACTATCAAAAATTAAGCAGAACAGTTTTTGGAAGTGATTTAGATCTTTGCTATTCTATTTTTGTATTTGATATTACCAAAGATAAAGCAAATACTTTCCAGAACTTCCTAAATTAAAAAGTTCTTCAAAATATTTACCTTCTTTTGCTGAGTCCTCTTTAGATAGGCTTAATTTTACCAACATACTGGATTTTTCCAGCTGAAGAGCCAGTAGGTTATTTGCTTCAGTAATTTCTGATATTTTCTAGAAAATTGTTGAGACTAAAGTTACACTAGGTTTTTCTATGTAAGTTTCAAATCTTGAGCTTTAAATTGATATAAACATTTATACAACACTATAATTGCAAGCCTATTTTACTTGACAATCCGGGAATTACAAAGAACAAGGTCAGACTGAGAGCTAAACATAATTAAACATTTACCATCCAGAATGCACAACATCAACTTACATCAACACCTACAAACTCCAGGAATCTTTGACAAGTATAATTCTGGGCCTCCTCTTGCAAAATTAAATATACTAAATACATGTTAAAGGAGGTCAAAAAGTAGAAGATATATCTGCAAAACCACTTAATAATCGTAATTTAATTGCTTCCTGTGCATTCTTAAGTTCAAAGCATAGCTCAACCCTCGACAAGTTTCTTCGTGTTGGGCTGCACATGAGGTTATTAACTCCTTCATTGAGCACTGAGTAATGTGCGTGAATACCGACTAGCGCAATAGCTTCTTTCATGATAATGCCAAAATTTTTTTCAGGTGTCCTTCTATATTATCTCTGGTAAGGGTTCATTGATGTGGATCAATCACCAGAGAGGTAACAAAATGGGTCTAATTGAACAAGAATTACAACAGTGCTTTTCTCGTTTGATCCATCTTTAAAGAACTGACATATTCTTAAAATAAAGAGAGCTCAATACATATTTTTTTTTTGCATTTTGGTTTTGGACAAAAAAAATGCATGTGTATGCATTGTCTATAAATGTGACTGCACATCCACAAGTTCTGATACGTCAGCACTAACTCTTCTGAGTTAAGCTACTGCTAGTTTCTTTCAATAATTCAATAATAGAAAGTGCCTAAAGAGAAAATATTTTTGTCTATTTAAGGACACAGAAGTCTGAATCTTATCATACTGAACAGGCACACACAGAGTAAGTTTTCATTACGAAAAACAAAAGAAACACAAATCTTTCCTGCAGACAGAAGGCATTTCAATGGATCACATTTAAAATGCTTGTTATCTGGAATCTCTTGACATTCCTATGAAAAATGATCCAGGATCCTCCTTCACACAAATACCAAATGTACAACAGCACGACTTTCACTTGCTATTTCACAAATCAACTATATCAAACCGAACACATTTGGATAATCATTCATCTTAAATCATTCTGAGCACTAACACACAGACACTTACTTTCCAAACAAAATTGGTATTTCAAGGTCAAGTATAAACTTACACCACTTAGAAGAAACTTTCACCTCAAAAGCATATTAAAACATGCCAAAGTATTCACAGAAAGTAATTTCAATGTTTTTTTTTAATCTTCTTTACTTACCTTTTCTATCACTGAGAAGTCATCTAGAAGTTTACCAAGATTCACCAAACTGATATTCTTCATAGTTTCTTCACAGCTATGAGTCACTTATTCCTGGAACACCTTACCTGATGTCCACTGTATACACAGGAAAAAAATATCCAGTCATTTTTATCCTCCTCATTTGCACTATTTCAAAAGCATTCCATAGAGTGCAAATATTAGCAGAATACACAACATCTTCTTCAAATTTCTAACTATTTTTTCATGTTATGCTAAATTTCAATAAATCTGAACTTCAGCATATCTACAACATGTCGGAAAGCTCAAAGACAAACCTATCAATTTTTTGTAATTTTTGTGCTTCAATGAACAATTCTTCATTCTGCTCTGTATATAAGAAGCAGATCCATTTTAGTTAAATTTGATAACATGAAAAAAGTTAATGAAAAAAATGAGACTTCACTATGACTAGAGTCTGCATTAATGTATAGCTTTAACCATGTACATGCTGAGATACTTAGCTGCTACTCAAATTTTTAAATCCTTACATGTGCTCTCTGAAGATACATTTTTAGTCATTTGGTATTTACAAGTCTTTATATCTATGTAATTTAATTAGCAAAGCAATAAATAAAGACAGTAGATAAAGACATCTAATGCACAACTGTATCTTGTATTTACGAACTTAAAAGGGACTAATGGAACAGCTTTTTTTTTTCTTTTTTTCTTTTTTTCTTTTTCAAAAATTTAAAGAATATGTGTAACATTAGGAATTAATACTTTTCTTTGTACATTAGTTTCCTTCATTATAATTTAAATGAGTAATGACAACAATCTGTTATTAGAATGGAATAATTGCTGCACTGGATTTTGAGATACATATTCACAGCTTCTATTTTGTAATGCACATCTTAATATTCTATTGGTTAATGATCTAAATATACAGCAAAACTGCCAAATCCCAACACTTTGAGGGGTCATGGACAGTATCTTTTTCATTTGCCTATCAGCCTTTTCATCAGGCTTTCAGAATTACTTCGTTATTAGATTTTTTTTTTATTTTCCATCCTCTCAATTCTGACTGAGGATGGAAGCTGAGGGAGTTGTCTTTTTATACACAGTTTTGCTCATGTATTTGCCCACAATTTGCTTGTGTATTTGCCCAGCATCATTTGTTCTTTTACAGGACAGGATGTGCTCAGCACTTGGCAGCAATCACTAATAGCACCACAGGGAATAACGCTCTTGTTGAACTAAAAAAGTAAATTCAGAATAACATGTTGTATTACGAATATATTTTTTCCAGCAAGAAAACTCAAAAACATTTCTATTTTTCACATGCTAGATTATATACACTAAATCTTCCAAAAACATTTTTGTTAAAGACTTCCACTCCTGTTTTTAACAATATTTAACTAAAAGATAAAAAAAAACTAACATGACTTTTAACTATTATAAAACTTGATCAAGTTATTCCATACCGCCTCCCCACAAAATGTTTCTTTCTCAGTAATCTTTTTTGATTGTAGCTGATGATTTCGTTTCAGAAAATATGCAAATATTAGCAGTGAAACACCTACTAATACATAACATGAACATTTCCTCTTAGATTGTTAAGTACATATCTCAATGGCATATTAATTATTCAGATGTAGGAACTTTAAATAGTCTCATCTTTTTCCCACAATTTTAAGAGATGAGCAACTACTATTTACATGAAGTCTCTCCTCACTTTTATCAGTCTCTCAGGATACTGAAAAATATACTTCGCAGGTCAACACTACGAGCACCCAGGTTGGACCGTGGTGAATCACATCACCTCCCCCAACCTTATAGGGGAACCACGATGCTGGCACCACTGCAAATCCGGCCGATACCCCCCCGCGCCACGGAACCCCCTCCTTCCCTCCTCTCCACAGGGACACTACGTGAAGATGTAGCCGGAAACACAGAAAGAGCCTCTCTGGCGAGAGCCGAACACCCACAGCACGGCGCCCGGCACAACCACGACGCGCACAAAATGGCGAAGGAGGCGACACCACGTGCCCCCGAAGGCGGAGGCGCGGGGAGCGCCGCGGCGCCGGCTCCCCCGGACGGCCTCTGTGCGGCCTCTGGGGACCCGGAGGGCTGGGGACACTGCTGCACCTTCTTGTCGCCCTGGCTTAGCTTAGGTGCTTCAACAGCTCCCTTGCTCAAACAAACAAATGAAAAATCACAGTAAAAAACACCTCAGAGAACATCCGTGGACGTCCTGATTTCACTCGGATGTTCACTCCACGATTGTCCCATGTCGGCAATACCATGAGCTGAGGGAGGAATACAATGTGTGGATGCTCCTTTGAAGAGCAGTGAATAGGCTTGGCAAGGGAGCACTTCCGTGGGTGATAGGAAGGATTAATTCCTGTTCCCTTCTGTTTCTCAGCATTTCTATGTTCTGGTAGCTATGGTTACCGAGCAGGGATACTTCTCCCTGCCTAGCACTCCTTTTTCTTCTGAGGGAAATTATCCCAAATAGCTTTTGAGGAAAGTTTCTGAGATAACCCATACTAGTGTGGGAGCACGCTGCAAGGCTGGAGGATGATCAACCCAGATTTCTTAGGAAAATCAAGGCCTTGTCTCATCCATAAGGAGGTTGCTATTTTGGGGAAAATGCTAAGATGCTGCCACTGTGCTTGTGGCTGAAGAGACTGCAGCTGCTTCGGGTACACTGCGCAACTGGTGGCTCTGCTTAAATATGAAAAGGAGCAAGCTCCTCCACTAATGGTTCTGTTACTGAAATTCAATGGCAAATGCAGTTAATATTTTTCTGGCCTGACATCTTTTGTATCTCGCCAGGCTTCGTTAAAAGTAGACACAGAGGACTGGGAGGGACGTGTTGCATCACTGAATAAGATCCTTGGGAAATCGTAGGCAACCAAGTGAAAACAAATTTAGCTCCCCTCTCCCAGCTTCTTGCCACTTTAATACACACAGATTGCAGCTTTTCCAAGCACTGAGCCCATGACCAAACCATATCAGCCCGGAATAAGAGAGTCCTGCTAGGAGTCTCTGAACATGCTACTTAATATCCTGCTGTCCTGGGGGAATGGGGACTCTTCTGCATTCATAGCTGTTAAATGTAACTGTAGGAAATAACTCGTCGGCTAGCTAAGTATTTTAACATTTAAATGATCATCATTAGCTTTCAAGGTCAGTAGCGCTGGGTGAGTAAGAGAATCACAGAATAATTTAGATCAGAGGGGACCTCTGGAGGTCACCCAGTTCAAAGCTGTTCTCCAAACAGGTTCAAAACTCTATTGGGCTGTTCCTGGCCTTGTCAAGCTGAGTTTAGAGCATCTCCAAGGAGGGGATTGTTTGGTGACATAATCTGAAAAGGAATTGTTTTAGGCTGGGACTTGAACATCGAAAATATTGTTCATTGCTTCATGAATGTACGTTTTTCAGGAAGAAACTAACATTATATTCTTAGAGCTACATCTGCATGCTGGAAAAAGGTGTCCTTGCTCTCAGAAATGTTAAAATATGCCATAGTGTTTCCAGGAAGGGAGCACTAGAGGAAATTATGTTGAATGCAGATTACAAGTCAAAAGAGCACACAGGACATGTCTGAACATGTCCAGAGAAGCAACAAGCTACTGGACAGTCACAACAACAGTTGTTTGCAAGGAACTCTTATGATTAGTAGGTCAGAGGCCTGTTGTCCACTGGGATAGAGACATGACTGAAGTAATCAAAATCTCTCTCTCTTTTTTTTTTTTTTTTTTTTGCGGGGAGGATTTGCAGCTCAGATGCAAGTGGGAAAAGGAGGACTGTGCAGTCACAACTGCAGCACTAGACCTGGCAGTCCGGTCATGTTGCAGTGTCCAGCACGAGGAAAGAAAGATCCTCCTGTCAACCTCCAGCAAACTCACTGAATGTTCTTGGTGGTTCCTAGCACACCCGTCCTGATTCCCTGGCCAGTTTTTACACATTACAGCCTTCTAGTTATCTGCAAAAACTTCACCACCCCTAAAACCACGCTTTAACCTTCAAAGTAATTAAAAAAAAAATAACAACTCTGATAGGATTATTTGTGGCGAAGACTAGATCAGTGCTTTAGTCAGACATCACAGTAATGAGCGCTCTTCTTAGGCCTGAAAAAAGGTGTACAATCACTCTTGTTTTCCATAAAAATTAAGAAAAGAACAATAAAACAAAGTGAGCTCTGAGAAGTTTAAAGCACAGTAACCCACAGTTCACACGCTGGTATTCCTGCATTTCCATGTCCTCTCTCTAAGCCCAGTAATCTCTGAGGAATGTAGCATCTGTATTTAAAATAGCAACAGTGATAACATTTACTAGACTAGGGCAAAATTCAACTGGATTCACAAAATGATTCTTTTTCTGTTACTTTGATGAGCACAAGGGAAGTGTGCACAGGTTTCGACCTGCTCTAGGCTGTTAGTTAACAAGCTACTGTGACAGATTGCAGAGTAGTTTAATAGCACAGAGGAAAAAATGATACTACTGTGTGTCTTGGGCATCAGCATCATTTTTGCTGTTATTTTAGTCCTATTGATAGGAGATTTTTTCCTAGTTTAGGCAATGAAACGTGTTGATATGGATTTTGGTGCAGAAGCTTCTGTTGTGCTCTAAAATTATCTAACTTGTCAAAAAAAAAAAAAACAAGACATCCCAAAATGTAACAATATATAACATTACATGCTTTTAATATACCTATATATATGTAGACACCTTACGCTTACCGTTAGAGCTATCAATTAACACAAAAGGTCACTTAGTTTCAACATGTGCTCGAGTTGTTTGTTCATAAACAGCAAAAAAATTTTTCTGTGCAACATTTTTTCCCTCCATACTTGTGTCTTTTTGCCAGGCAAAAGATGATCTAATCCTTCCTTTATAGCTGCAGTATTGAAGAAATAATTGTGTTTCTTTTTTTTTTTTTTACAGTATCTATCAAAATACAAGTCTTATTATTTGTAACAGGACAGTAGTGGGCAATAAAGTTCTGATATTGCTTATATAAATTCCATATTCTTGTAAACAAAACAGTATTGGTCTGTGATGTTGGATGAACAACAACAACAAAAAAAGGTAAACACTAAATAAAACAGAAATGAAACCCTCTAAAATGTATATCATTCTGTGCCTCTGTGATAAATTTGATTTTATAGCCTCCAGAAGGGGTTATCAGGGTCAGATGTAAAATCAGTCTCTTGTGTTAGCTGCACCACATACTTGACTTAAAATGACCTTGGTCTGCCTTCTGAAAGACCTTTGTAAGTGCTTGGCTGAACTGGATGAAAAATAACT